TCTAAATTGATTGTTACGTGCATTCAATATGAGCCACAAACTTGACTGGACCGATATACCGAATCAATGAACTGTTTAAATTTTGAAAAGACATTCATATACTAAAACCTCTTTACGCATTATGTGTTATTCACTAGGGCTTTAGCTCATCTGCTCATATATATATTGTAGGTGTTCAGGCAACCTGGACCGTTTGCTTAGGAGCGTCAGGCAAGTTTTGTTTTGTCAGCCAACCACTGTGCCTCACTGTGAGGTTTCTAACGCCGTTCAAGCTTCGGGCTTTGGGGTGTTTTAATTTCCCCGTCTGTCCCTGTAACTGGTTTTGTTTACTGTATAGACTAATTACTGTACCGTTTATTAGGGAGTAGATCCCTATTCTGAATGATTGTACTTGTATGTGTAGACTGTCACAGGCTCACTTGACCAATTGTTTATTTACTGTATTTGGCTTCCGCCTGGCCCTTACTCTGTTTTACTGGTATTAACTTTAGGCAGGCCTTCGGTAATATCGAATTACTGCCGGTTACGTGCTAAACCCCATAGGGCCGGGTTTGGGTCGTGACAAATATGACCAAGACTTAGTCTGTTTTCATCAATGCCTTAGAACCAAAAAATCAAGTTTTGTTCAAGGTTTACAACCGAGATCGTCCTCCTAGCCGAGGTCCTGCTCCATTAAATTAAGAACTCCAAGAGTTTCTTCACGCGTATGAGCTGTCACGCACAGTATTTCAACCGTTTCTGCCACGCGTCTTTCCCCCACTGGACCGTACCCAACACGCGCCATTAAGTCGTATCACTCGTGCATGCGCCGTCTGACAAGCACGTCGCCCTAGACACCATAATTGCCATTTTGCCGCCATTTTGTGGTTTTGATCAAAATCACTTCTCTTGATTCTGAATCACATTCTTGTTTCTTCTTTCAATGTGATTGCAAGTTTTGCCTTCTTTTTACTCTTGTATGATTCTTTGCTCAAAATAATTTGTATGTCTTTAAAATACACCTTAACTGTGCAATATTTTCATGATGAAATACCTCGATTATATCCATCAACGGTTTATCTCGGCCTTGACTTAACACTTGAAAATATTATAAAAAATATTTTCACAAGTGTTATTCATAACTTGCCACTTTACTTTTAACAAGACTTCTGTCTTCAAATTTCTTAAAAGTCTTGGCAACATGGTAATCTCGGCAAGTACATAAGTACTTCTTTCAATACAATCTTGGCTTGGCTTGACTTGTAAACTTTTCTTAAAATTTCAACAAGTGTTAAATTAATCTTTCTTTAATCATGACCTCAGTTTAACTTCAACTTGTAAATTTTTTAAAATTTCAACAAGTGTTAAGCATGACCTCGGTTTAATTTCAATTTATAAATTTTTCTTAAAATTTCAACAAGTGTTAAACATGATCTCAGATTAATTTCAACTTGTAAATTTTTCTTAAAATTTCAATGAATGTTAAACATGACATCGGTTTAACTTCAACTTGCAATTTTAAATTTCAATAAGTGTTAAACACATCATTGGTTTAACTTCAACTTGTAAATTTAAATTTCAACAAGTGTTAAACTAATCTTAGCTTTGTAAATTCCAACTCCTAAACATCATTCTCCTGCCTTCTGCCCCCCTTAGTGTGAACCTAAGTTTCACTTGGGTTTTCATTAAGTGTGTGGCATTGACCTTGTCGCCGAGGTCAGATTCAAACAAAGACTGGCTGAGGTTACCAACCTTGGTCTCTTTGTTAATTTGACCGGCATGTATTGAGTTCCAGTCTGTGTTTGACTCTGCCGATATGCAAATTCAGGTTAATTCAACTTAGTTCAACTCTATTATATGCAAGTATAATTCAACTCTATCATATAATAAGTTTAAGTTATTTGTCATGTTTCAATCAGAAACATCACCCAAGGATTGTTCAACTCGTCCTCGCTTCGGCGAGCCGTTTTCTTTCTCTTGTTTTGTCGCCTTTCGTACCTGGCATGTCTTCCTCGGCTCTAGTATATTTCTTAATTCTGGCCATGAGTTCCTCCATACTTTTTGGCAATGTCTTTGCCAATAACTTTTGAAGCAGACAATCATCTTTCAGGCCATTCTTGAAAGACACGATCGCCACCTCTTGGTTACACTCGGGTATTTTGTTGAATACCTCATAATACCTTTTGGCATAAGCCTTAAGGCTTTCATCCTCATTGATTCTTAGAGCCATCAGGGAGTCCACCCTTAACGGTTGTAGTTTGTTCGTCACAAACCTGTCCACAAATATCTCGGCCAGACCCTCCCAGGTTTTCACAGTTCCTTTCGGCAACTTGTGAAACCAGTCCGATGCTATTTTCCCGAAGAATGAGGGAAATACCTTGCAAAGCAACGGCTCGTTCCCAGTGTATAGTGACATCGAGTTCAGGTATAAGCCGACGTGAAAATTCGGGTCCGACTTACCATTGTATATCTAGAACCTTGGCATATGAAACCTCTTCGGGGCTTCAAATTTGTCAAATTCTACCAAAAATGGTGTTTTCGGCTTAACCGGAGAAGTCACCTCAGCATCTTGTCGCTTCCTCTAGAGGTAATCCCTCAGATCCTCCTTGGTCCGTCCAAGAGCTCGGCTATCTCCCGATTTCAGCCTTTTTGGTGCACTACTTCCAGTGTCAATGTGAGTCATTTTGGACTTCCCTCCATTGGTCATATCGAAACTGAGTGCCTTCCCTTGAACATCCCGATGTTCTTTGGTGCAGTCTTCTTTGGTTCGACGTGTCTTTTGTGATTCCTATTTCCTCGATTCTCCATGCCCGACCTCCCGCAAAGGCCTGTGAGAATATCCCTTGGTTCCATCGTGCTGAGGGACTGCAGGAATCGTTTTCTGCCTCCTTTTCTAGGCACCTTTCTTGGCTATTGGAATCGACGTATCTTGTAATGGGAACGGTGGCTGTATGGCGTTGTTCTGCATCATGAAATTGACCACTATTTATAGGTCCGCCAATTTGTTTGCCATTCCCTTCTCCTCATCGTCCATCCGCAGGCATCTTTCTTTCCATACCTAGAGGTCGTCCTCGTTATAATACCCGCTTCGGTCCGTTTTCATTGGTACGTCGCCCTCCTAGCCGACGTCCTTTCCTCCTTGATTCTTATCATGAGTCACGAGTCTCTTCGTTACAATTATCCTCCTCTACGTTAAGGTCAACATGTTTCCCACTCCCAGTAGGGAAGTCGTCCCCAACCTTTTCTTTCTGTTCGTCGTTGGCCATCTATTCTCTTTCGTTCCCACAGACGACGCCAAATTGCGTGTGTCAATTTCCGACCACACTGCCAATCAAGCATTCAGCTGGATAATAATGGCAGAATAGATTAAGCCCGAACGACCTGTCACAAAAAGAAGAGATTCCGGCGGTGGTTCGTCCACCCGGGGGCACTCCGATGATCAAGTCAGTTATCTCTCAAAGATAGCAAAAGTGCTTAACTCACTATTCAGAGCATAAAAGCATACATTAGACCCATAAGGGTGCCTCTCTTTTATAGCCAGTACTTACCTAATCCTAATAGAAGCCTAGCTTCAATGAATTTAGGATTACTACTAATCTTGGACTCCTAGTAAGATTGGGATAAACTCTCTAAGAGTATTATCTTTATCCAAACTGAAGTCCTCCCCAATTTTAGGGCTTTTGTCCCTTACCCGCTTATCCCGGATTTCGATATTCTCACAGATAACCTTAGCCTTGCCGAGATTATTTCGGCTTTATAACCAGGACACGTGGCATCTCGACTGGCACTTCGGTGCCACCTCAGCCACATGTTGTCACTAAAAAATTATGTCCCTACAACTGTCCCCTAGGTTCTATTACCTCAGCATCCTGAGGTGATGGAACCTATATCATTTCTTCTATTTAGCACGTCGTCTAAGCTTGCCTTGTCCTTCATTACCGAGGTCACCATTCATCGGCTCAATACCACCAAGACTTAGTCTGTTTTCATCAATGCTTCAAGACCAATAACCAGGTTCGTTCAAATTTCCCAGCCAAGATCGTCCCCCTAGCTGAGGTCCTGCTCCATTAAATCAAGAACTCCAAGAGTTTCAACACGCGTATGAGCTATCACGCACAGTATTTCAACAGTTTTTGCCACGCGTCTCTTTCCTATTGAACCGTACTTGACACGCGCTATTAAGTCGCATCGCACGTGCGTGCGCCATCTGACAAGCACGTTGTCCTAGGCACACTAATTGCCATTTTGCCGCCATTATACGTGTTTGATCAAAATCATCTCTTTCTCTCTCTCTCCGTCTTTTCACTTTTGCATCTTCGTTTTCGTTCAAACTTTCTCTCTCTAACTTTCTCTCCCAAATCCTCCATTGCTGATTTTGCAAAGCTTTCTGTAACCACATTCACTCTTCCTCTTCGGCGAGGCTTTTGCTACATTTCTTTGCTCATTGCCACCGTCTAACACCGGCGTTCTTCACGCCGGCTTTGCTTTCCTCAATAAGCCACTGTTTCTCTTATTTCAATTTCTTGTTTTGCTTCAAATCGTTGTGCTTGTACACTGCCATGGTGTTTTTATTCATGCTCTTAATTTGTTACTTATGTGTTGATTTCCACCATTTGTCACCTGTTTCTCGATTCTACTCTTGCACAATCTGTTGCTGGCATACACACACACACATAGTGTTCATTTTGCCACTGAACTTTACCAAACACTACCTAAAATTTGCTTTTGTAATAAAATAAATTTTTAATTTTATAAATTTAAATTCTAAATTGAGTTATTTTATCCTAAATCATAAACTATTATTATTAAGTAAAATTGATGAAAAAAAAATTTAATCACTAAACTCAATATAAATGATCATAAAATGTCTAACATATTTTTTTAAATAAAATACCATTTTTTCTATTAATTTTATTTTTTAAAATAAACAATAATTTAAAATAAAAAATAAAAATTTCAAGATTTATTGTTACCGGAGTGAACGGAGTTTTTTCTTATAAATTTTCATAAACTTTTTTATTTTTATTTTTTTGTAGGCCCGACCCAAACCCGTTGGCGCCCGGTCGATGCCGAACCCTTGTACGATGATGTGTGCCCTCTCAAGTTCATAAGAACTCTGCAACAAGAAAGGGCCGATCTTTGGCTTGAAAACACAACCAAACAGAATCATAAAACCTTAGAAACGGCCATGCAAGCCCCAGACGAAGCACACGTTGGCATTTCATGCTACATCTCTCAGCTTCCCGGTTTTCGCGGAGTTCTTAAGCAAAGGTATATATGTAGTGTGTGTATATGAGCGTGTCTGTGTTTTTTCGAGTCATTTGTAGCTTTATGTATCGCTTAATGATTCAATTACTCTTCCAATTCATGAGACTTTTTTAAAAAAAATTTGAAAGGAAGTTAATATGCAAATTTTAGAGTTTTTCATTGAATAAAAACGAGAAAAATTGTAGCCAATGTTTAATCTTTTAATATATCTTTCAGTTTGTTAGAAATTGAACTCAGGGGCTTGTGTTACAGTTGAATGATTCAGTTGGTAGTTCCAATTCATGGAAAATGTGTTCGTTTTGTTTATTTATTTAATTACACTTCATTTTATATTTCAGCTTAAACTTTGTTTTGCTTTCAGTGTATAAAATTGAGATCTTTTTTTTATAGTCTAGGCGGGGAAAACTAGTAGGCAATGTGGGGTTTAGTCATCCATTTTTATCGAAACCGAACCAAAAACTACTATCACTAAGGGTTCATTTGCGAAGCGGCTTTTTGGCTAAAATATAAGATGAAAAAAATTAAATGTTTGAGAATGCCTTTTTGACTTTTTATAAAAGTACGTGTTAAAAAAATAGAGAGAAGGGAATGAATCTGACTTTTTTGTATAGGGTTTTGGCCCTTTTAATGACTTTTTGATTAAATTAGCCTATTGCCAAACGAGCCTTGAGCTCAGTTTTTGCTTTCTTTTTGATGTGTTGTTGTAGTTCGTAAGTAAATGAAGTATTTAACATTGGCATTCAATTAATAGTTTCAAATCATGGAAATTCTGTATTTTTTTTTTTTTTTACAAATTATTATCTTATTTGTTTTTTCAGCTTATGCTCTGTTTGGATTCCCCATGAAAAAGTCTGAAATGAAAAGAAATTAATGCCTAAATTTGAGATTTTTGTATAGTACAGGCATGAGAAAATTGATAGGTCCAATAAACAAATCTTGATATGAGTAGTAGGTGATGTTGAGTTTAGTCTCTCCTTTTTCTATTTTTTGGGGAAACCAAACTGAAATATACATATTGGATCACAGAAATTGTGTTTGGTTTGTTTTCTTAGCTTCTAGTTTGTCAGCTGTTATACACAGGCAATTATAATTTTGTTTTGGTGTTTTTTGCAATCAATAGCATTACTTTCAACTGAAAAGATCAAATCAGTAGCTTTAAACTATTTATATATTTTATCGAATACGCTTCTTATATGTTACATCATTTTTTTCCCCTCCTAATTTTGTTCTTTATTCATGGAGTTTCATGTTTGTATTTGTAAATGATGTGCGTTCCAATGTACATGTTGTTTGTTTCAGTTTTGATTTTAGTATTTCAATTGGAATATTTGAAGACATTTGTTTTTTTGGGTTTAATTTTTGTGTAGGTATTCTGATTTCATTGTGAATGAAGTAGATTTGGATGGAAATGTTGTTCATTTAACTGACTTACAAGCTCTGCCAGAAGTAATTTCACTTCACTTAACAAATTTTCTCCTTGTGTCATCAATATTCACATACCCTATTATCATAATAATCTGACTCTTATTTGACAACTCAGATTGTGGAGGAAAAGGAAATAAAGATGCCTGATCAACTGAATAAAAGTTATGATACTGAACTTGAAGCATTTAAATCTCTTGCTGGTGATTCTGATGCTGATAGTCTCAAAGCTTTTATACATCAAATTAGTTCTGGTGTTAAAGATAGTCTCTCACCTATTGTCCTTTCTGCATGTTCTGATAAATCCCACAGGACGGTTAGTTTCTGAGTTTAAGTCAATTGGTTTATTTACTCTCATGTAAAGCTTATTTATTTATTTATTAGGGGCAAGGCTTTGTATTGTCAATCATTCATATTTATGTTTTTAGGTAATAAGTCAATCATTCATATTTATGTCTTTCAGGCAGTGCATACTTTTTTCAAGGATCATTTGAAATTCCTTGTTACCGACACAATAGATGGGCCAGACACCTCATCAAAATGCATTCGTGTGTGGTTCAATGCCGGAGGGAATAATGGAACAGGCAGAAACTCAGGAGGGAATAATGGCACAGGCAGAAACTCAAAGAAACGGAAAGATAGGGGCAGTAGGCCTTACGACAATAGAGGTTCAGATAATTGGCCTGACCATCTTGATAAGTTTCTTAGGTAATATTTACGTCGTGTTCGTGTTTTTGTTTTTTTTGGTCATAGTTGTTCTAATCATCTGTTGGACATAGATGTCTTTTCTGCTCACTGATCTGTTTGAAATATCAAGAAATCAAAGTAATTAGCTTTGCAATGACACAGTCTATGTATTACATAAATGTATCATCAACAGCGAGAATCATTTGATCAAAAAAGGAGAAGCCTGGTTAAGAAGAAAATGGTAGTAGCAAATTATATTGAAGTAAACAGAAAATGAGCATGAAACTGGAGTTTATAGTTCTTTGGCGCCCTCTCTTTCTGAGTAGTCCACATATTATTATTACTTAGTTAATGCAATCAACTTTATTCTGAATCTTTTGCTTCATGATGCTTATTTTACGCACTTAAATATGTCTTACATGGAGTATTATTGAGCCATAATCCATGGAATAGTAGAATCTAAATTATAATAACATAATTAAGCTTATTTTAATAAGTTTTCCTTCTCAACATCTAGATTGATTCACATTTGGCCTGGATTAAAAGTCTGAAACAAGTTTACTTATTACCTTTGGAGTGACTTGAGCATGTAATAGAGAAGCAGTTGTTAAACCTCTCAACAATTTTCGTCAATGGTGTGACATCTAATAGAATCTTTCTTTTTCTTTTTTCCCATGAAAGCTTCTATAGATGACTTCCAATTATTACTTATAGTTATGGGTTAAGTGGTGTTGGTTACTCTTGGTCACATCTGAGAAAGCATTTGCCATTTCAGGTTCCGTCTTTACAAGGAGAATAAGGATACCCAAGAGGCATTAGGACTGATTGGAAAGATGCTAGGCATTCAGGTATATTTGATTTAGCTATGCTGAAGTGAAGTGTCTTATATTCTGTTCACTTGCTGATGTGCAATGAAATAAAAGAGAATATAAATATATTTCCTTTTTTTCCCCTTTCTTTTTCATTTTTTATTCTCAATGGCTTGTAGTCCTGTAATCATATACTGCAACCAGAGATAATGCAGGGGTAGTGCTTCTTTTTTTTTTTCTTTTTGTATCTTTTCTTTTTTGAATTATGTATCTGTTGTGTAGAGCTAGCTATACATGTGGTGATAAAGGTTCTTAGATGCTATTGTGCTTGTCCACTATCTTGTTGTTAAGTTTTTTTAGTATCTTTGTCTGGCAGCCAAGGTCATTTGGATTTTCTGGTACAAAAGATAAGCGTGCTGTATCGACTCAAAGGGTAAATTGTTTTCACCTTTTTTTTTTAGTCTAGCTTACATGGTTCATTATTGTTAATTTATTTGTCAGTTACAGCCTATTTATGGTTCAAATTGGAGTTGCTTTTGTTAGGAGTTCAGATGGAATTTTATTTTGGTTTTAATATAACTTACCTGACCAATATCGTTGACAAAATTACTGACCAACATTGTTGTCAAAATTATGATGGACCACGCGGTTAGGGGTTAGTCTTTTATTAGAACTTGAAGTTGAAAAAGTTACTGGGTTCCATAAAACCGTCAATCACAGCAATATCTATTGCTGTGTTGGCAAGAAGCCTCTACATGCCTACTACTTGACTTTGTATTGTGCAATGCAACGAATTATTCTGTAAGTTAGTGATCTCTCTTTTGCTTATTAAGATGCTACCAGTGTTGAAAGAAATTCTCTTTCTTCTTCTTCTGTTTTTTTTTTTTTTGAAGAAAATGTGCAGAGTATATTGAAAAATAGGTAAAGTAACATTTGGTTCAAGGAACAGTGACACCAAACTGAATGCTACATCTCATGGTAAAATTGCATGGTTTAATTCTTGGTATTTACAAAGTGGAAGCATTGTAACTATTCCTTTCTAGGCAAGTTTTCAGAGAAGCTAAACATCCAAATCATACTCAACATCAACTCATCTGCCACAAATTTCTTTTCATTCTTTTGGTAAAATTTGTCTCTTCAAGGTGCTGCATAGATATGATTTTGTTGTAAAGAGTTGTGATGATAGTTACCAGTCAAAGGTCGTAAAAGGATGAGTTACACTAGCATAGGTAGGAGGGACAGAGATTTGAGAAGGTAGCAAAAGTGCTTTAGCTAGTTGGTTGGAGCAAATGATCATCAGAATTCTGAATATGCAAGATGGGTTTTTTTGACCTATCATTAGGAAGTGCTTTATAGACTTTTTCAGGAAGTGAAGAAATTTAGCTGGGTACTCAGTTAAATTGATTTGAAGATAAACTACAGTATTTCATTTGTGTGCATATTTAAAGTTGCTGACTTTGGGTATACTATTTTGTGCTAAAATAACAGGTAACTGTTTTCAAGCAGCGTTCAAGTAGATTAGCTGCTCTTAATGAAAGGTTGATTGGTATCAAAGTTGGTGACTTTTGGTAAGTTATAGGAGTATAAAATTTCAATTCTTACTTTACCCGCCATTAAAACTTCTTGATGCATACGGATGTAATACTGTGTTGTTGTCTAGCCATGTCAAAGAAGGACTTCTTCTCGGGCAGCTCTATGGAAACCGATTTACAGTTACATTAAGGTAAGCGCATATGCCTTCACTTCTTTTTGTCAAAAATTACTTGCTCAATACAACTTTTATTTTTTCTTTCATTGTTTAATATCTCATGGCATGTACTGACAGACTTGCATAACTTTGCAGGGGTGTTGAAGCAGATTCTGAAGACACCATCAAAGCATCTGCGGTTGCTTTAGGAAAGCATGGATTTATAAACTACTTTGGTTTACAAGTACTTTCCTGATCAATGTTATCTTGTTCTTTTTGTCTCAAAACCTTCCCCTGTTTACTCTCTCTCTCTCTCACGTTGTCTTTCAGTTAAAATATTTTATTTGCTAGAATGAATGTTTAAACCAACATTTCTAAGATAGAAAAGCAATTCCTTAAGATTTCCTAAACTATTTTAAGACTAAACTAATGGATGATTCTTGTATTTGCAAGTTTTATTCAGAGTAACTTTGGATGCGATCAATATCCTAGTCAAACCTAGTACCAGTTCAGAATATCTGTACATTGGTATGGGTGGAATCCCATTCTATCAAGCCAACTCCTGTTTCCACTCAATTTTCATTACAAAGATATATCATGTCAGGATCTGTTGTGCAAACCGAATCATGCCAACATTATAGAATCAAGAAAATCTTTTTCCTGGAAGTAAGGAGGATTTAATCTGTCTCTGGTCGTCTCGGCTGGGGGACATGTGTCCTGTTTATTTAAAGCAATGCCTGGCAACTTCTTGAGCTTTTTGATCTCTTTTTTTGAGTGAAAACTTCTTGATCTCTGAGTCATGAGCATCTATAGTTTCTAATGATATGAGACACTGTTTTAATAAGCTTTTAACTAGATTCTATATTCAGCTTTTGACTTTTTTACTAGCTTTTAAAATTTTGATTTTTGGTAAAAAAGTCAAAAACCCACACTAAGGCCTCGTTTGGGAACAGGCTAATTTAGTAACTTTTTGGCTATTTGGCTAAAAAAGTAGGTAAAAAAAACTTATATGTTTGGGATAACTTTTTGGCTAATTACGAAAAGATGTGCAAAAAGTAGAGAGAAAAGAGAATCTTTGACTTTTTGGTATGAGTTGTTGGCTTTTTGGCTAAAAAGGTAACTTTTTGACTTTTTGGCTAAAAAGATAAGTCCCCAAACGGGGCCTAAGTCACAAAAAGCCCCCAAAAAAGGTAAAATTGAATATTGATTGAAAAAATCCTCAAAAAACTAAATCCTCTCCTAAAGCTTATAAAAATCTGGTGATATTGTTTTCTTGTTACAAAAATTAACTTGTCGAGTGTATGCATATGGCTCAGCGATTTGGAAGTGGTTCAGTGCCAACTACCTTATTAGGCGCTACACTACTTAGAGGAGAGTGGAAAGCTGCAGGAGCAAGAATTCATTGATCCTAAGAGAAGGGATATCCTTTTATGTTTCTATAGCGTGAGAGAATCCCTTTTTTAGATCCTTCTGGGAATGGGTCTGTTTGCTCTGGGTCTGATGTTCATATGAATTGATGGGATGTATGTTTCCTTCAACTTAATCTTGGAATACGAAGGATTCATAAGAATAGGTACGTGAAATTATAAAGAAAGTAATGATATTGATGGGATCCTTGAAGCATTGCCTCGTTATATGGGTGGCTGAAAGGCTATAGTAAGTTTCCTCAACTCTTGGATGTCTCAGCATTTATTCTCCTGTTTTTTTTTCCCCTTCCTTTTGTTAATGGTATATGTTCCATATTCTATCCTTGTTCTTATTTTTTATCTCTC